TCCGCCAGGCTGAGCAGAAATTCCGTGAAGCAGCTGAAAAGAACGCGCGGCTTGAAGAGGCCCTGCGTGATTTAAACAGCAAGTTGGACCAGCTTGCGCTTATGACAAACTGCGCTCGCGCAGTTTGTTTTGAGGCGAAAGCAGCCAGCGCCAGTGCCTGAGGCAAACCTGGCAGCTGCCATATGACGGGGTCTCACTGGCGCTGTCCAGCTGTATCTCTTTTCCATTGGCGTGGGGCAATGCCGGAAAAAAAGAGAGCAGCTGCGCGTGCACGGCCTTTTGCTTCTTGCTTATCGGCTGCTAAGGTGGCCAACGATTGTAACCAGTAGGCTGCCAAGTTGCATGTTTCTGCCCAAGCGGATCCCGCCCCTTCCCTCTTGACTTTCTTCTTTGGGGTCCTTTTGGCCATGCAGCAACGCAAGTCAAGTTCAAGCCACCTCGGAGTAAGAGCGCATCCCAAAATTCTTCCCCCCCCCCCTCCCTCCCCAAGATTTTCGGCAAAAAAACACTTCCGAAAAACGGATTGTTTTGACAAAGAACGCGCACGCGAAAAAACAAGGTTTTCGGTCCAAAAAAAGCACACAAAAAAAAGGCATAAAAAGCATGTCCTTAATGACCGGCCAGTTTTGACCGCTTTTGGGAGACAGAAGTGTCATTCTTGAAGTATTTAGGGCCAGGCTCGGCAAAAAACTGTCTAGTTACATCGAAAGCTCCTTTTTAATGGCCATTGAAAGGCTAGGGAAACCCTCGAAAAGTTCGCAACCTTCCAAACGTTCAAAAAGTTCGAAGCGTTCGAAACGTTCGAACCGTTCGAAACGTTCAAAAAGTTCGAAACGTTCGAAAAGTTCGAAAAGTTCGGAACGTTCGAAACGATCGAAAAGTTCGAAACGTTCGAAACGTTCGAAACCGTTTCCAAGCGTTCGAAACGTTCCCAGCGACCAAAGCATGTCACAGAAACTTGTTCGCAGCCGAAACAGGCTAGGGGCAGTGTTTGCAGCCGAAACAGGCCAGGAGCAATGTTAGCAGCCGAAACGGTCGCAGAGGCATCCTTAGCAGCCGAAACGGTCGCAGCCCGAGTTTTGACACAGTTTTTACACACCAGTTGCGACACAAGTTTTGACACGAGTTTTGGCACAAGTTTTGACACTAATAACACGTGCGGGTCACAACCCCGAAACAATCCCAAAACACACACATTTGTCACGAATGTCAAACTTTGTGTCAAGACTTGAGTCAACACAGTTTTCACACGGCCAGTTTCGGCCTGGCACAAGTTTTCACACAATAGTCCACTTACCATTTTTGGGTTAGCTACGATTTGGTTAGTTACGTCTTTGGTCTGCCTTGGCACGCAAGTTTTGACACGCCCTTTTTTACACCGCTGGTTTTGGAACAAGCTGCGACGCACTGTTCCGGTGACTTCAGTTTAAAGTCATGTGGGACCTGCGCCAAACAGCCAAACAGCGCCAACAGTCATTTTGACCCTCTTTAGTCGGAAATTTGGGGGACGCGGGCCTGGGTTGGACTTTACTCGGCTTAGTATTGGCAAGGGTAAAGTTAGTATTGCCAAGCCAGAACTTTATTTAGTGCTGCCACAACTGAGTCTTAGACCCTCAGTATTTAATTTTCTTTGGCGAAACTAAAGTTGGCATGACCAAAACAGTACTTGGCTTAGTACTGCAAAGACTGAATGTCTTTATTCAGTACTGCCAAGGCTAATTTTGATCTTTCCAATAACTTCGGCTCCCAGCACTTGATTTAGTATTGCCCAGGCGTCATCTCGGATTCCGAGCACATAGGTAAGTAACGCCAAGAGTAAGTTTATTGATATTGCCCCGGGGCAGGACTTGGGCGAACCACCGTTGAGATTAAACGCCTACGGCTTTGATCTGGAAGGTCACCTTCCGCCAAACAACAGTCAAGCGTGACATTAAAGCGGACCCCCCAAATAGTCAGACTAAGAGGACCAGGACAGATCCCTTCGTGCAGTGGTTTGGGGCCCACTTGGCAAACTGGAATTGCTAGGCCCAAGGCCTTTGCGCTGGGGAGAACAACTCAGGGGAACCAGGCTACCGCTTGGATTTTGGAACCTCGCCCCCTCTACACAAAATTGAAACTCAAAAGGGCGCCAAGACAGCCAGATTAAGGGGCGCTTTCCTAGCCTTGATTTGTTTTGTTGCACTTTGTCGCAAAGATTGGGCAGGGGGCCGCTTGCAAAACTGGAACTCCTAGGTCTGAGGGAAGCTGCTTCCCAAGAAAGAACTTTGGCCTTTGGGGCGGCAAAGCTTTCAAAATGGAGCCTGCGACTTCGGGGTGGGAAAGCTTTCCATGATAGAGGACCCCAACATATCCCAAGGATCCTGCGCCGGGAACACACATTCTACAATAGCGGCCTCAGTTAAGAATAAGAGGGCCCGTGTGTCGTGGCAACCAAGGGGAAATGCCTAATTACCACGGACCCAATGTTGCTCCAAGTTGTTTTTTCTCCTGAGTTAAATTAGAGGTCGCATCCCTTTTTTGCTTGACACGGCTGAACCTTACCCGCGCTGAACAGACCTCACGACAAAGCATATTCGCAGGGCTGGCATCTCATCCCTTTCCTACGCCTGGGACTTCGGTTAACCAGGGTGCCAGGCGGTGGAAGCTCTTCTTCCGTTCCCTCAACCAATAGGTTCTGCGGAACGAATTTAAAATGGTGCGGGCAAGAATAGGAAAGAGAAGGGTTAGAATTCCTTTGCTCGCAGTTTCTTTGCGTTTCCCCTCCCCATTCTCTCACCTTGCAGGGAGTGGAAGAAGGTACGGAAAGCTCCCTCCTCTCTCTCTCTCTCTCTCTCTCTCTCTCTCTCTCTCTCTCTCTCTTCTCTCTGTCTCTCTGTCTCTGTCTCTGTCTCAGTCTTCTCTTGAAAAGAAGCCCCGTTTTTTGCCGCCGGTGAAATCAATGCGGGTCCAAACCATAGAAATACATGAGCTCCTCATATCTGAGCCGGTTGAGAAGCAGCGGCAGCTTGGCGGTGATATTAATTTGTTTCCTCAGCGCTTCCGTCTTGTCGGCCATTACTTGCACACGCGAAGAATCTGAAGTCTGAGGAATGTTGGGCTATGTCCTGGCGATATCGCAATTGTGATTGAATTCCCTGTGAGTGCAGACAGCGATGCGCCTTCCCCTTACGCTACGGCCGAGCCCAAAGAGGTGGAAGCCCGCGGGCCAGCGCCTCAAAACCCAGCCCAGACTCGCTCTACATGCAACCTAAGCCCACGAACCAACCCTTGCCGCGCGTTGCGTTTACCAAGTGAACCCGCCCCACGCCCTGCCGGGCAGGGCTTAAATTATAGCACGGTTTTGCAATAGTCTGGACAATATCGATCAAGGATTCGCCTTGTTGTTGCGAAGTGGAGTTGACCCAGAAATTCATAATGCGCAAGCAATGAAAAAACTAACAAAGGTCGACACACCCAGCATCATTATTGGTTTTGGAAGAAAAGTGCTTTTGCGATGTTTAAAGACAACAGAACAAGTCGTGTTGGGCTCCGAAGGCGCAATGTTCAGTTCGCGTTGTAAGGACGGTTGAAAGCATCACCAGTGCTCTATGTAGTACATGGACCGCTTCCTTCCGTTGACTATGCCGTTGACTAAAAATTAGGTTTCGCAAACTAAAAGGCGCCGGGTGTTTACCCGCCCGCGTTCGCGGCTTCCACCCCCGTACGCCCGCTTGCCCTCACGCTCACCACGTCAGAGCTGCCAGCTCACGCGCGTGACGTCAGAGCTTCATGCTCGTTGACACCTGGTAAGCACACCCGTTCACGCGCATCACGTGAGAGCTGCAGGCACGCTGGCGCATGATAAGCACACCCGCTCACTGGCATCGCGTCAGGCTTGCACGCAAAATGGCACATGATAAACACACCCGCTCACGCACATTGCATCAGAGCTGCGCGAGCGCTGGCACATGATACGCACACCCGCTCACCCGCGCCACGTCAGAGCTGCGCGCGCGCTGGCGCATGATAAGCATTCACACTCGCGCGAACCACGGCAGAGCTGCACGCACGCTGGCGCGTGATAGCAAACCCACTCACGGGCATGCGCATGACGCACGCTGGCGAAGCACGAGAAGCACGCTGACGCACATCGCGTCCACTCGCGCAGGATAAGCACACCCGCTAACTGCAATGCGTGCTGACGCGGCCCAAGACTGCACATGTCGACCTGAGATTCAGCAGGCCTGAGTTAGTTACCAGGATGCCCCACAACTGCAGAACCCTGCATACTTGTCAAACTGCCTGAGGATAGACGCGAGCTCCAAGGACATGCGAAAAAGACGCGCGGGTGACTATGTACCCGGCGTGAGCTACAGGGGCCTTTCTGTGTGAAGTTGAGTTACATGAGGAACACAAAATTATTGGGCCAATTTTCTCTGGCCGTCTCTCTCTCTGTCTCAGTCTCTGTCTCCTTCTCTGTCTCTCTGCCTCTCTCTCTCTCTCTCTCTCTCTCTCTCTCTCTCTCTTTCTCTCTCCCTCAGTCAAGGGAAAGTGCACCCAGTGTCTGCTGCTTTTGCACTCTCTCAAGGGCTCGAAGCGCAAGCCTGACCATTGAACAAAAATGCTGGGTAAAGGCAGGCAACGGCAGGCCATGGCTGGGTGGTTTAGATCTCTCTGAACAGGAATAGGGCGCAAGCAAACAAGTTTACAGCGTTAAGCTTGCAGAGTAGATGTGTGCAATTATACTTTGAAAAGGCGTACCAGGCACTTGTTCAACGCACCAGCATGCGCACGTGCGCCAAAAAACGTACGCTGCAGTCAGCTTTCTCTCAATGGGGCAGGGGTCAGGTCAGTAAATCAGTGACCAGCGCCAGACATGTTTCCACAGGCGACAAAAGCTAAAACGTTCACTCACGATCGGGAACACCTCACGCGTTCGTGAAGGCGCGATGTATCGAACAATCAAACGCGCACAACTGAAGCAAGCCATGCGAAGAAACGCGATTGAGACTCAGGCCAGCCTCTCAGTCGCACTCGATCTTTTGGCCCCAGTAGCTCCCCCAGCTCGTCCCAAGCATGGGCCTGCCGGATGTCACTCACGTCAACCCGGCGTCAACGTAGCCAGCGTGACATAGTGTAACACGGGTTAGACCAAGTGGCTTGACCGCTAGTGGTCTTGCAATGGGTGACTCGCCATGAAGGCATAGAATGTCCAATCCCAGCAATCAGCCATGCATTGTTTGGGACCCAAAGTCCCCGGACCAAGACACGACGCGGAGAGCTGCCTATGACTGCTGTTAGGCGTGGTGATGGGGGGCAACCGCTGTAACCCTGAAGGCAGAAACTCTGTGAGCCTTGTGACCATCCTGCCTGAGATTCTCCCATCTCAAGGGCCGCCACCGTCAAACTTAGGCAGTCCAGCTCCCCAGGCGCGTCAGCAGGGGCAAAGCCAGGATCCTGCCCCGCTGGCCCCGCCCCTTAGCCCCCGGTCAGTTAGTTTGGCTCATGGAAACAATGCTGCCTTCGTGGCAGAACTTGAGGCCATGCTGTAGATCACAGATCATGCACAAACTCAGACGCAGAGCTCCAGCCTGCCAATCTGTGCTGTCAAACCTGCACGAAAGGGTTCATTGCGTGCAGGTCCAACGCTCAAACGCGTTCAAGACTTTTGGCTGCGCTTCTCTGCATCTTCGTCGCCCCGAGAATAATTGCGCTCATGCCCGAAAACCTTGAAAACCGTCACTGCACAGCGCAAACCTCCGCACTTTCTTTGTTGTCGGTGCAAGATAACACAGTCAGTTTTCAAGCCTGAAGCCAGCGCCTGTCCACGCTCGCGCGAAGAAACTTCCAATGAAGGCTTGCGCGCTTCTGGTTGCAAACAAGCAACAACTCGTCTGCTGCGTGTCGCCTGGGTCAGGAAAGCCACGTTGTCGGCTGTGTGCGTGCGTGGGACCCATACTGCCACGAACCCTTTGCCGGAGGTGAAACGCGTAAACCTCATGGATCGTTTGCGGCTTGCCAGTGTAAACAGGGAGTTGTTTCACCCTACGCATCTGAGTCGACCGCGCGCCTGCTCGCCAACCTCTCAACACGATCTTGCCATGGCTGGATGAGCAAAAAAAAATTGCAACCGGCTCCAACTCCTCTGCCCCTGTCATGCCAGTATCCACTCCGAAAAACTACATGTTGACTTGTTGCCACAACGTGTCTCATTGAAACGATCCGACTGCATCTCAACCCCTCGGCCCGAGGCGCATCAGCAGCGGACAGGCTTCGGCAAAAGGCGCCAGCGCCCGGCGCTGGAGCTCTGCGGCGGCGGTTGAGTTGGGTTGCAGCTGTAGCGC